TTACAAAAAACATCAGGGGGAATCTGTATGTTAAGAGCTGGGGAAAGATGCACCACAATCGCGGTCTGCCTTCTAACTGCAGTAGAAGCATCCCTAACCATGTGTACAACGTGAAAGAAGTGAATCTTCCAAACAGGAGGGCCTTCAGTGATACTGTGGATCACTCAAAGTGGTGCGTGACGGCAGACGGTGACTGGATCTGCATCGCTGATATGAACCGAGAGGAGAGTCAGATGAAAAGAGGTGGAGGAGCAATATGCACTAATGACAGAGTGGTTGGGATGGCTTTCTATAGACTGATACACAATTTTGAACCATGTAAAGATCCACGCTCTGTTGGTAGACGAGAGCTGTGAAGGAACAACCCGAGTGTTGGACCAATATTATAAAAACCTCAGCTTAAATGAGCACATCAGCTCAGCTGTCCAGACTTGACTCGTGCAGCTTCAGGTTCAGTTTGTTTCTAATAGAAATCCAGAGATGGTTACAGCGCGCCTGCTGTTGTCTCTTCATTGTTCGCACAACTGGACCAAAATGCAGCAATCAGAGTTTTTAAATGTCTTGATCATGTTGTTTCATTTTTTTAATCTCTTATTAACTTTTGTTTTTATTTCCTATCATGTCCTGTGAAGCGCTTTGTAACTTTGTTTTGATAGGTGCTATGTAAATAAGGGCATTATCATTATTAAGAAAAATCGATGGACTATTAAAAACTTGATTTTATTACACAAACTTCTGTATCTGGTAGAAAAACAGTTTCCACCTCAGGGTCCTCTGCAGTGTCCTCCGTGCACTGTGACTTCAAACTAAATGAATTAAATGTGAATGATTTAACGCTCACTTGGAACTTATTGCCAGCTGTGCAAACCGAGTTCTTGCTGCAGCTCCACACATTGAAAAGCCTTTTGTACACTCTGAACCCTGCATGTTGACGTTCAGTGGAAGGACAGATAGTACGGTGTTTGTGGCTTTGTTTGTCTGTGCATGTCTATTTCCTATTTTTCATTTATATTTTTTGGTTTTTGACACTGAGCAACTTCCACTCGCCTCCTGTGTAAAAATGCAGTTCTTGTCCTCTTTGCAGCGTCTGCTTGCAACAGGTTTTCAGCTTTCAGCTGTTTCTGTGGCACCAAAATGTTGCACCTGTAGATTAATTTCCAGAATCTTTCCAGCTTGTTCATTTTTGTGATGCGGTGTGTTAAATGCAAAACACGTTGTCGTTGGAGTTGAGGTGAACAAAAGAAAAACATTTCTTTTTGGTAACAGTGCAAAAACTGACAAAAATAATGGAAGGTTTTATTTCTAAAGTTTACCATAAAGTGTCTTAATTGCAGTTTTTGATGTTAACACTCCAGGAAGTGGCTTTTTAAAATAAAATGATCAGTCCTTGCCCACACCACAGCTTCCTGTTCACAC